GTGCTGTGAAATGCCAGATCATTGGAGAATTTCAAGAACTTCTCCACGAACATACACTTTCGTTAGGTTATTAAAGACGACAATGGAAATATGCCTTCTGACAACCAGGTAAATGTATCACTGGAAATCGTGAACGTGAATTGTTGGTGAAAATGTTGGACCAAAATATTTCAGTAAAAAAAAATGGTTTTGGGCGAGACGAAGTTCGCCGGGCCTGCTAGTGATATAGAATTATTAAATAGTATAAGGACAATTTTTCTCACGTTAACCAATTCAAGCGTGAGTAAGAAAGAATCTTTTCAATTGTAACTGGTGTTTCATGCTGCAAAAATCGGAACAAATTATCCGATGAAATGTTAAATAGCACATGTATGTGCTTCAATTTTAAAGTCACCAAAAAATCATATTCGCTTACACAGTGCAAATAAAAGCTCAGTTAGTCTAGACTTAATTTCCGTAACTTAATTTAACTTATTATTTTGGCCAGCCTGTTATATGAGAAACTGTGTTGGCGGTTAGTTAAAACTTAACTTACTGTATGAAACTTAAGAACATGTAGATTTTAGTTACGGCCTTACGGAAATTGAGAGCGGTGAGAGAATAATGGTCCGATTATGGCAACTTTACGTAACTTACGGCTCTCTCTTAATAATTCTGTTAAATGGGCGTTGCTTATAATTAAACAGCCGAAAATTAACGTAACTTAATGCCACGTCGAAATCTGTTTCATTTTGATTCTCTAAGTTCTACGTTCCGTTAAGTTATCTAAGTTGCCATTATCAGGCTTTAGGGCTTGCCATACTCTAGTTTTTGTACTTTCCGGTAGCCCCAATTTTTCTTCAGCAATATGCGATCGATTTCTTATACATATCTCTATACCAAGTTCCAAAACTCTACCATAAAACTTCCAGCGCCCTTTTCCAATAACCCCTATTTTTCTGCAAGAGTATGTGTTTAATTACGTATATCTCCATACCAAGTTCCATAACTCTACCATAAACACTTTCACAGATATGTATCATGAGAAATTCGGTTTGTATGGAAAGTGCCACGCCCCCTTTTCCAATAGCTCCAATTTTTCTCCAAGAGTATGCGATTGTTTTCGTATATCTCCGTACGAAGTTCCAGATGAACACCTATGATATGGAGTATGAAAAAATTCGGTTTGTAATGGAGGTGTCACGCCCCCTTTACATATAGAATCTTTTTTTAGCCTAAAACCACCCTTGGGACACGTGCGGTAGGTTGCAGTTTCAAAAAAAGAATCGGTTCAGCCGTTCTTGAGCTTTGCTAACACTAAAAAACGGCTTTCAAAATATAAGTATAGATATATTATATATTATTATTATATTTTGGCTGTATTCGTTGTTTCTGATTGGCGCAAAAAAATCTTGCATCGTGACGAATTCGGCCCCAGATATGGAGGTTGCTCAAAGCCATTTATGTTCGGAATTGCATGAAAATTGGAAAATAGGATCCGATAAGCTTATCTAAGCAAACAGCTATGCACGTACCAAATTTTAAGCAAATCTGACCATAAATACGATATTTCGAATAGATCGGTCCTTGGTCCCCTTCTCGGAAAAAAAGGATCCTATATGCTAATCCAGGCAAAAAGCTACACAAGTACCAAATTTTAAGCAAATCGGACCATAATAAGATTTTTTCGAATGGATCAGTCCCTAGTCCACCTACCGCAAAAAAGGAAATATTTTTTTGGCCTAAAACATGGTGGTTACTGAAAGCTATTTATATACAAATTTTCAAAATTTATTTTAACCTGTTACAAAAAAAGGAACTTCTCTTTATGTAATTAGTATAGATAGATACAGATTTTTAATTTTTTTTTTGTTTTTTATACATTGCACATTAATGTAAAAAATGTACAATTAAAGCCAACAATAATACGGAAGAAATACATTTTTTAACCGACTTCCAAAAAAGGAGGAGGTTATCAGTTCGAAGGAATATTTTTTTTTTTATGTATGGTACCGCATAACTTTGCACCACGCCAACCGATTTCGAAAATTCTTTTTGCAACGGAAAGGTAGTGTCTCAGAGGTGGTCCCATACTGATCTGGTTTAGATCCGATCATTGGATTGGTTTTTGTTTTTGCTAAAAATTACTTGTTTTCATTAAGTTGCGTTAAAAGATTTCCAAGATACAGCACTTTAAAGAAAGGTATGTATGACGTTTTCTTAAAATTTAAGTCACGAGTAAATAAGCAACCCTACGTCATATTGGCAAAATATGCTGCACGTACATTCATGTCACCTACACCAAATTACTTTCTGTATAACTAAGGCTCGTATCTTTCCTCCTTTCTTCGCAGTATAGTACTTTTTTTTTACTCCAAAAATGGATACTGCGCTTTTCCCCAAAATACTGCATTTATACTTTTTTGCTGCCTAAATTTTTTAATACACAGTGTTCGTGAAAACACGTTATAATAAAAATGCATATATATATAGATTTTAAAAATTATAATATTGCAGTTGTTCAACTTCTTTAATTTATTTTTTATTTTATTTTATTTTTTGCAGAAAGTGGGAAATTTGGATATATGTACATGGCTTCTTTTAGACACATCATTTTGTCTGGGGGTGTACAGCGGTACACAAATACCCGAAATTCCTTTATTTTATTGGAAAACTGTTTCAAAAAATACTGCACTGTAAAAAATGAATTTATTTTTAAGTGGAGATACGGGGAAACGGGATTCTTTCGCAGTAACATGCAACTTTTTATCCGAAAAAAAGATACGAGCCTTATGCTTAAGCTTGCTACTAAAATTATTTTCAAGTGAATGAAGTTCCGCTGATAGGATTCGCTTTTACTTTTGTACCAATAACTAAACAGAAAATCCCATTCGCCCTTTTTAGTCATAAAATCCCGGAAAAAGGGCGAAATCCGGCAAAGTGGCAGGGAGCCATAAATATGGACACTCGAACACTTGCTTGCAGAGGTGCCCCGACGGCCTTGAGCGGCATTCACAGAGAGTCGGTATCAAGTTATTTAGACTCCAGACCTGTGAATGCCGTTCTGGGCACACAACCACTTGACGTGGATATCCCAAATTTTTTAAAAGAAAATGTAGCCTAATAAATATTTTTACTTTTAAATAACATCCGACATTTTTTAAAAGAAGGTGTAGCCTAATACATAAAGATTTTTACTGCCTTGAATATGGCAACACCAATTTGATGACAAACTGGTCGAAACGGGAGAACGTTTTTATCAATGGATGAACTTGCGCTCTCAATGCGCTGCGTAAACAAAAAATATCGCCGACATGCATACATACAAATAAATGTTAACGTAAAGAAACCAGTGTTGCCGCGAATCATTTTAGTGGTAGCCAAATTCTCTTTAAAAAAGCATATTAAGGGCCGTAAACTTATTTTAATAATAATAATAATAATAATAGATTGGCGCTTACACATATGTTAGTGCTTGGCCGAGCTTCTCCTCCGATTTGTGGCGTGCGCCTTGATGTTGTCACACAAAGAGGAGGGACCTACAGTTTAACGCCGACTCCGAACGGCGATTGTATTTTTATGAGAAGCTGTTTTCCATGGCAGTAATACACTCGGAGGTTTGCCATTGCCTGCCGAGGGACGACCGCTGTTAAGAAAAAACCTTTTTTCTATTTTTTTTTCGATGTTGCTTTTACCAGGGGTTGAACCCAGGCGCAGCGGAGTGGAAGCGCGCACTGCTTACCACTACACCACAGCGGCTATTTTAAACTATAGTTAAATCAGTAATAGATAAGTTAACATGCCTAACACTTTTATAGTATGTATGTATAAAAAAACGTAAGGAACATACAATACATATACATATGTATATATATCAGTCTTTCTTAGTTTAAAAATTCACCTCTTACATAAAGAAAGATGAATAGGTATATACCCCTGTGGTCAGCTGATTAAGTTATGAATGTGACATTTTGACCAGTTTTGGCTACTTGTCTTTTATTTATTTAATGTTATATATTATGAAAAGGTCTAGCAAATTACATAACCAGTACCATATAATTCACATCTCAAACAAAAATTTAGAAAAAATTAACAAACTTTAGTAATCACACCACAAAATGTTTAACTTTTTATTCAGAATTTCGGGAAAATTTTAGGTATGCAGTTTTATAGCCTATTAAATAATTTGTGGAGCGTACTTTATACTTTGGGCGTAATTGTTAAATTTTTTGAATTTTTATAATTTTTGGATGGAATTCGAAATAAGAAGGAATTCGAAGAATAAGTGGTGCTAATTCATGATTCAGTAATAAAATTATACATCAAATTAACAAAATAAAAATAGTCAAAACTGCTCAAAATGTCACTTAACTTAATCAGGTTACCAAAAGGGGACATACATATGTTATTAGCAAAGTTGTACAGAATTCTAATTCTCCCTTAATTTAAAAGGTATTTTAGAATAGTCTTGTTTAATCTGGCCATTTCATTCAATATTATTTTATTTTTTCTCGATATAACTTAAAACGAAATTAAAGTTATTAGGGAGAATCATGGAGGATGATCATTAAAAAATGTTTTCAAAATCTATACTGAAGGAAATTTTGCGATTTTTTTTGTTAAAAAAAAATGTTGTGTTCAAACTCAATTCTCATTTTTTGGCACAACTGATAAACTGAAAAGGCGGTCCAATGTATTAGATGGAATTAAAAAAAAAACATCGATGCATCTATTTAAAAATCTAATAAAAAATTGTTTATGCATCGGTAGTTTACAGACATCCCTTGTTGTATTTGTAGTGGCTGCTAAAACAACAACAAACACCCCTACAAAGAACGATAAAATGGTTATATCAAATCTGTTTGCTTTCCTTCGGAAATTCTCTGGCATTGGCGCTTGCAAAATTCAATATTTTATAGGCGTGTGAACATACTTACATATCAATGTCAATGTCCATGCAAATTTACATACTTACAAACATACATAATTTTTAGCCCAGTACAATTAAAAAAGATCATCAGTTGCTATTTAAATATGAACTTTTTTTTTTTATTTAGTGTGTTGAGTATAATACCTGTTAAATCAACGAATAAATAAGGGGTTGGCTGATGGAGCTTCGGAATGCATTACCCAGGCTGCTAATTACCTTAATTTGTGTCGTCCTTGAACCGAATTGGAAACTATTCCATTGTTTTTCTGGCTTCTATTGCAATAGCAAACGCTTGAGGCACCAGAGTACATATGTGGTTGAATACTGGCTGCGCTTTTCATATCATTGAAAATTTCTTCGTTTATTTTTTCTTCATTTATTCAGTCAAACTTTGTAAGCGGACTTGAATTGCAATACTAAAAAATTTTATGTTTCATGAATGTCATAACTTAAACTGTACCATCTGGGCTTTGAAATTCCGACAGGGCATGTATGGGATTTTGCACCTTTTTCTGCGAACCTTTGCGTACTTTTGCGCGTACTTCTTCGGGCTTCTCTGGGCGCACTAATGGTTTCTTTTCCGGTGCTTTCATCTTCCAAACTACAATCGGCGATGTAACTGTGCCTTGCCGGGTGTATTTCGTTGACGCTACATACGAATATTTAACGGTCAATACAACTGCATTCATCAGATTCTTTGCTGCTTGGATAAGGGAAGTAGCGCTGTCCAGTCCGGATACAATTAGTTCGCCGCTTATATTCTGTACGTCTGCCTTGACTTTCGAAGTTATTTGAATTTGATGGCAATAGAGAGCTATACGCTGCAAATATGCTAGTAAATCCTTTTTGGTGCTGCTCTCTGGGCACTGCTCGGCGATTTCTCGCGTAAGTTTGTCGAGTTTCGTCCCGGCCTCGGATATCTTTTTAGCTGCATTAATAACGTCCATAGTGGTTTTCAACGGCCCGCGACCGCGTGTGAAGTCCGTCATTTCCATCATGATCATACACATATGCTTGGCTAAGAAAATTATATCGTTACCTGCGTCATCCCATTTAGCAACCTCAGAATCGAAGGTAAGTTTTTCGCGGCGAAACAGCTCCACTTGCTGAGCAATTTTTTGTTTGTCCTCTTCGGTCATCTTGCGCATGGCTTCGCGCGCTGTACAAATACCGCTTATTTCAGGATACTCGTCGACTGTCGGTCCGCCTTCTTGTGCACTGGATTTGCTACGAGTCTCCGACATTGTATTCTCAGCCGGCTCGAATTCAGTGTCTGTGTCCAGTTCATCTGAGTTACGATTCATAAGTACCGCCCGTCGTATTTCACGTACACCATCATACACCAGCCGCGAAGCATCGATGAAGTCATTTTCATCAACATCCCTACTGCAGTTGTTAACGAGAGCATCTACTGCAGTATCAACGCGTTGGGCGAAATTGGCCATCACCTGTTCCTTGAGAACTCTAACTGCATCCATTACCCTTTTGGTATAAACGCAAGGCTCGTAATTATCCATTTCAGCCTCTACAACATCGCAGATTCGCGCTGATCTCCCCTGAATAGCACCAGCCGTGGATCGTAGCTCTTGTGGTGCCCCCATTTGCAACGACATGACGCATTTATTAACGTCCTCTAGTATATGATTCTCGGAAACGGCCAGAAAATCGTCTATTGTTGTAATATCATCAACAGCTTCGGTGAGAATGCGCACTTGAGCTTCCCATGCCTGGCGATAAGCAGCCATATTTTCTTGTGCAACCTTCGAGTTCGGGCGTACACATAGAATGGAAGCCGCGTTGATAACTTGAGGGCAGAGACTTTCTATTTGAGCTGCTGCAAATCGTACCATTTTCACTCCATCTTCGTTGTTCGACATACTGCATACCAAGTTTGCCACTTCCACTAACTTTTCTGCATGTCTTGTGAATATATCAGCCTTTTCTCGCAGTTTTGCTTCATTTCCTGTTTTTGCACACTCAATTAGATCGATGAGAGGAGTAGATGTCTCCAAGAAAGAATCGGATACATGGTCAACAACGGCTTTACGTAGCTGGCGCCGAAGATCGCGTGTTTTGCGGCACATTTGATCTATAGCTCTATCCAAACCGGGTGTGTGGTCTTTTTGTCCCATATTTGACATGTACTCGGATAACAAATCTTGAAGTGCTTGCCTCACTGCATTACACTCGGCAACAATTCTTTCACGACGCTCGTCACGTGTACAATCAGCATCAGCCATCAACGCTGCTGCGCTTATGATGCTTTCCAAACGTTCTTCAAGAAGCTGACGGGAATGTTCTTCGCTGTATGTTAAAGTATCCATGATGATACCCTCATCAAAGTCGTCAAGTGCTGCTGCTAATTCACCTGCACCACTATAAATCTCCGTTGGTTGTGAAGATTTGCCTTGAGCCACATCGCTGATGGTATTCACAGCTGCACAAACCTCCTTTAGTATAAAATCCCGATTTAATTTAGCCAAATCCAGCTCTGGATGCCGTACGTACACTTTGGATGCAGTGAAAAGCATAGTAGAATGTTTCTTAAGCATTGCACGTGCGGCAGCTAAATCGTCACGTAGTTGTGGATCTTTTAATTCCTGTTGCCTTTTTGCAGCTTGCTTAATCAGTTCACCAGCATTTTCACCAAACTGTTCAATGTTGCTAAGTAGCTCATCCTGGCTGCAGGCATTCTTAAGTTTGTTCAGATCATCTTCGACTACGTGTAAGGATTTCAGCAACAAGTGCACATCTACCATGTCCGCCAGTATAAGTAACCTTGTGACCGCCGAGAGAAGATTACGAGCAGCCCTTACCATGTTGCCACGCTTCAACGAAGAACATGGATCTGCAGCAAATTCCCTAGCAGCCATGCTCATGGCATCTCCAGTCTTACGTACCTCTTCTACTGCAGCCAGCATTTCCTGTGTAATATCCGGATTCTCGTAAGCAATTTGTTCGCCCTTGATAACAAAGTTTTCGGTTGCCTTTTCAATGGATGCCACAAGAGCGCTGGCTCGTTTCGATTTTCCTTTCTTCTTCTTACTCGGTTCTGTTGTATTCACTAAAGTAGTCACTTGCAACACCAAAGGCTCGAGTGTTTTCTCCACAGTCATTGTACGAATTTCCAGGTTTTTCAAATCCCATTTAGTAGCAATCTGTCCAAAATCGGATACAACGCCCATCATAATACTTATGTAGAATATCCAAAAGGAAAAATATATGTATATAAACTAAACTAGGTTGATTTTCCAAAAGCAAAAATTATACGAGCACAAAATCGCTGCAACCACACCAAAATGAACTCGCGTCTGTTATTCGTTTCTCTCGTTTCACTCTCGGCCAGTTGCTGTGATGAACTCTCATTCTCGTTAAATGAATGAGTTAATTCACTCTGTTGTGTATACAGTGTTGCCAGTTAAACTTTTTAGGCTAGATCTAACTTTTTTCTTTGTCGTTAGCTTTTCTTATTTTCAAACTCGCATTTCCTAGCTGCACTAAATTATTGTTCGGTTCAGTTTTACTTGACGAAAGCGAATATCACCCGTCGGCATCGCTCCGTCCGACGAAATTTACTCAGCGAACTCGTTCTCATTATACTTTAATAGTTTTTCAGGGGCTCACAATTGTTCCTATAAAACTAGGAAACTCCGCACCCCACGGGAATGACGTCAAGCACTACGCCGTTGCTACGCTGCAGCCATTCAGGGGTACTTAGCCCCTTCATCTCCTCTGCTATCGCATCACATGCTGCCAACCATTTTTCGCTGCTTTGTAGCATAGCCTCCACGAATGACTCAGGCATGAATGCCAGATATGTTGCGAAGTTTGCATCTGGTACTGTCAAATCACATGCGCCCAAAACAGACGTCTTCCATTTCATCTCCCTCGAAGTAGTCGCATATGGGTTCCGGTTCGTGTTTTAATAAGTGAAGGTATGCTTTGAAGCATTCATGCATAAAGTCCGGTATGCAGCTCTCAAGAAAAGCAACAAGTCCATATAAATTGACGTACAAGAAATGGCTGAGAAACTTTCTTGTGTCAAATTTTCTTGAGGCAGTACGCAGTTCTTAAGAAATTTGCTCCGCTTTCTACTACACTTTTCTAAAGTTTTTTGTCAAAAAAGAGCACAAGGCAACCCATACTGGCAACAGAAATATATTCCCTTCCATTATTTCTTGAAGAAAGAGGGAGGCAACAGGCTGATGAAGTATCAGATGTCAAAATTCCTTGGACACACACACACGAAATAATGGCAATGTTTTTCTTGACCGTTTTCTTGAGAGTTGCATACTAAACATAAGGCATTCTTGAAGATATTTGTCAAGATATTTACATTTTTATTGCTCGGTGGTACATTTGTACCATCTCTTTGTACATATTTAAGAGTTAATGAAATGATGAAAAGGCTTGCCTTTTTTCAACAATTTTTGGCCATCCCTGCAAAAATCGCGACTACTCCATGCATGCGTGCAAAGAGTACTCCCTAAGGATCAAGGAGTACTCCAAAATTATCCACAATTCATATAAAAATATGGTTCAATTAACATTGCGATGTCCTAGGGCAGGTCCATATACTCCATCCCTGCATTACATCAGAGTAGCACAAAACTACTCCAACATATTAACAATGGCATTGTTGTTATATTTTTTCGTTTGTACACGCTTTTGTTCTTCACTTCTCAAATGCTTTTTCGAAATTAATAAAAACCAAGCCAAAAATTAAAAATTACATGTTGCCTCTGATGGCATTCGAACCCGAACGAGCTGGGAGCTAAGAACTAACAGCGAGCATCTCTACACGTTCAGCTACAACCAGACATGCAAATTTGCTTTCAAATGCTCAACTTCAATGACATTTCGTTAAAACACGAGCAGTGATCGGATAACAGACAATAAGCTGGCGCAGAGACACGAGTTGGTCCGATACAGCATGACAGAGGAACACTTTTGTACGTACTCCAATTTACCACAAATAGACTACATGGTCCAACGATTTTTGCAGGGATTTAGCTTTTTATTTGGCCGATCAACTTTTGTATTGGAATCCTGGTAACACTGTGAGTTTAATAGAAATGTTAACTTTCTCAAATAGAGAATTGCCGCATACATATTAGGACAACACAGAAAACATTGCTGAAATAATATTGAAAAGCGCGTCCATGGTGAAATTATACCAGGTGTTGTAATTAGAACGAGAAAAAAGATTGGACGCTATCTTATTTGAAAACCTGCCTTTAAAAATTTCTATAAGATGGCCGAATGTCAAGAAAAGTAGGAAAATAAAGCGAGAAAGCTGTTTTATTACTTAACCTATTTATAATTTCACCATGATTGCTGGCTTAGTAACACAATAAAATGAAGCAAACCATGGTATAATTCCCCCACGAAAGGAAACAAGCTTTTTTTTTGGCTGGATGTAAAGAGAATTTTTATCAGGAAATATGTATATCTGAAGTAAATTCTCAACTTTTGATGCCTTCATGCCGAGCAGCAAATAAATTTAGTGGATTTTGTGCGGTTATATAAAAAAATCTGTTACCATCTTAAGGAAATATATTTGCCTAACTGATGTTATATAATCTTTTAATCGAAATGATTTCTCCTCTGCAAGTTTATGTTAATTAATTTTTATTTTTAGGCTTACTTAGACCAGTCTAGTGATAACAGGTGTAATTGTAATGTTCAATGGCTAACCCAGTAAAACGTGCAAGTTATTCGAAGTGTTTCAACACTTGAAAAAAGCTTGCACGTCCTTTTTAAGTATATTAGTATGCTTGCCCATCTCATCCTAATGTTTACACAATGCATTCGAGAGAGTTTTCGATGCAAGGCCAGTGTGGCCAGTTTATTTAATTAAATTATTGAAGTCAAATAAGATTGAAAATAAATTAACATTTGGCTGCCAAAACTAACAACGAGTTAACGCAAAGAAACTGACTAGCAGTGAATACCTGAAAAACATGACGGGTCTTCCTTTAACTTCGTAAAAGCTTCGTAAACCTCGTTAAACGCGTAAATATACGAGTCTCGTAAAATAACTGTCAAAATTTGTATGCAGCTCTATTTACGAGCCGCTCGTAAATTAATGGGGCAAATTTGATGCGCAAACGACCTCGTAAACTTCAGTGTTGCCGAGGGGCCGAAGATTTTGTACTAAAATATACGACAAAATATTGAAAACAAACGAAAAAATAATAGGTGAATAAAATTAATAAATATTCATATATTAACTGTATTAACCTGGTTTTCTGCTAATTATCGCATTTTAAATTATATTTGTGCCCTATTCGAGCTGACGGGCTGTTATGGAAAATACTAGGAAACCAAAAGGTATTCACACATTTGCAAAAGGGCTGTTCCAGTAACAGCCTTGTAAATTTACGAGTTTACACAGTTTAAGACTTTACGGTCGTAAAGGAATCTCCTAATTGTGTGGAATTCTACTCTTGTCCTCAGTATTTTCACGAATATGAAACTCTGATGAGTATAAGAAAAAGTACTGTAAAAAAATAAACAAAAGAAATCTGTGTATATAAAAAGGCAAGCTTTTTCAATCATATCTCATATGTATAAGTGTACGTATATTTTTAATTTATATGAGTATGTAAATGATCTTTTGAACGGTTGGTTGACTATGAAAATATTCAGATTGTCAAATATATACTCTTTATATAAAACTATCTTTACAAGCCCTTTTCGGTACTAATTAGTTCCGCTTGTTTAAAAAACTCTATTCTTTTAATTTGTTGTCATATAAAAGAGAAGGTAAAAAAAAACATAAATGTCAATTACTACTACTTACTAAAAAAAAGTGACCTGGTCACGCTGCTTAAAAATTTTTTAGTAGCACTCCGGTGAACTTACAAATTTTCTTCTTATTTAAAGGTTTAAACATTGAGAGCATTTGAAAATGCCAAAATCTGATGGAAGGAAACTTCTTTTTAAATATATTATAGCTGAAATATTGTTTTTATATGGTTTTCGCATTAATAGTAGTACTCGGCATAGTTGCCAACTTGGTCCTTTAAGCACTAGATTTAGTGCTTTTTGGAAATTAAAATGCCCAAAAAATATTATTTAGTGCCTAGTGCCTTTTTAGTGCTTTTTTTCTGAACTAAAATTCCTCCGAGATAGGTAAAACCGGAAATATTTAAAGCTGTGGCAGCACTGAATTTACAAGAATCTATAAATTTAAATGCACTAAAATATAACCATGATTGATAAAAAGCTAAATATACAAACCCATCTTCTTGAATTCTATTCGCGTAAGTTAAGTATTTATTTTTTTTCTTTTCTAATTATTTGTACAAATTTTGATTTTTTTACCACCTGAATAAAAAACATCGTTCCTTGGTGCTGAATCCTAATCTTGCCTCAAAATTGCCTAGCACTAGAATTTTGAGATATCCTATCCTCAAAGTGCCAAAAAAACCGTTTTTGGCGATATTTGAGGTTGTATAATGAAAACATCAAATTTTTCGCTCATTTCTACATATGGCATCATTTTCATTTGTTGCGATTCGATTTTTTTTCTCGAGATATACCAGTTTTAATGCGCAGTACTTCGGTATTACGTCGTAAGTATGAGTCATCATAGCATGTGTAGAGGCTATTCAATCGTTATGAGCGAAAAATTTTGTGTATTGATTTATGTATATATTCTTGTAAATACTGTTAATTTTTTGCTTTTGTTAAATACAAACTGTTATGAAAAAATCATCTTTTCATTCAATAAAATTTGGTGCTTTTAGTGTGATAAAACGCTTCTTTCAAGTTTTTGGTGCTTTTTGAAAATTGAAAGTTGGCAACACTAGTACTCGGGTCAAGCAAAAGAGAGTTTTTGGATGAACCAATGCTCATATGTATGTATGTTTGAATGTGTATGCAAAACCACAAATGCATTTGTGTACAAATTTATTTTATACCTTGCATACTTTTTATAGGGTCTCACTCCAATTGTTGTGTCACGTTTTAAAATAGTCGGCCTCAGTAAGCTCAAGCTCAAGAAGTGGCACTGAAACAACCTATATGAATCGATTTCGTTTTGCTGATGCGCAAAAATAACTTAACAAAATAATTCGGTTTCGTGTCAGAGCTAAATTCACGAACAAAACTCAATAGTTAACGTTGAAACGAAATAAATCAACGAAAAGTTATTGTTGTATGCCATTGCTAGCTCACTATTAACACCTATCACCTAAATACATGCTACAACTTCAGAATTAACGACGTTAAAAACCAAAATATAATTCTTTTTGGTAATTACCTAAACGATAAAAAACTGAATCGTTTCAACAGAAACGATTGCTTTTTTGGTAAACGCTTAA